CAGACAGCCTGTAACTGACATGTCATTTGAGCAAGAACTGAATTTAGTCACTGTAAACCAATGAGACTTTCAGAGTTGCTTGTTACCACAGCATACCTTAGCCTATACTGACTGATACACCCAAAGTGTCAACTGAGTTTTCCTTATGTCTGAAGACTGTTTTTATGCACTGAATAAATTAGCTGAGTTTCAACTTACATTTTATATATTTAAATTATATATATTTAAAACAATGTTTAAGCTTTTAACTTCATATCATTTTTATAAATTAATTTTGTGTTAATATTAGCCAATTTTGTTTTTGATTAATGTCTCATTGACTTGTAAATTTAATAACTATACCCAAATGCTTATCACATTAAAAAAATTAAGTTTTAGAAATTTCAAAGTACAATCTAATTTTGATACATTTCATTTTCTCAAGCCCTTCAAAAACCCAACAAAGATGACTCACATTAGTACAGATGAAGCTTTCTCAACTTTTAAAACTCACTAAATCTAAAAAGATTAACCTTATAAACCTAATATATTATAATTAAACATTTAAACATTGGCTTCAAACTTAACTATCTGTATCTTCTTGTGAATTTTATTAATACTGTAAGTCCAATTCATCAATCTCTTCACTAAACTTCTCACATTAAAAGGCAGAAAAACATACACAACATACTATAACAAAACTTATTTCTAGATAATATTCCTTGCTAGATATAACTTAGCTTGTCATCAGAGGGTCTTTGAAAGCATTCTTGTTTTCTAGCAATAACAAGATATCCCAGACCTTCATGTTTCCTGCCCTAAAACACAACGTGCTCCTCTTCAGGAAGCCCGGTGCCCTTTAGTCTTCTGCCTGGAATACAGATAAGACGAACCTGCAAAGCAGCCCCTAGAGTCCACAAAAGAATTTCTGAATTCACAGTAACATTTGACCTGACATCTTGAGAGGCTAAACCAAAATCCCAGGTGTTTAAGCCACTGAGGTTCAGTCTCTGTTACTCAAATGCAATTCCTTACTGATACAATTCTCATACCAACAAGAGAAACTAAGAGAAAGCTCTAAATATGAAAAGGAAGAATTGACCTAGAGGGGAAAATCTTGGGGGTGGGGGGTGGTAAGGAAAAGGAGATGGGAAAGAGGGGTGGGGAGAGGTGAGATTTGGCAACCTCTGTAAAAACAACTGCATTTAGTAAGGATTTTAAGACAAATTCACCTTTCCCCCCCATGTGTAAAATGAGGATTGAAACAGTCACCTCCTCAGGATCATTGTGAGAATTGTGCCAGGTGATGTGCCAATATATCAAGTGCTCAGTGAACATCAGCCATCATTGTTATTTACAGCTGGAGATCCAGAATGGAATGGAAGTGGGGAACATTAGGGACACCCTAAGAAACCCAGGAGTCCATACTTTCTCTCTCTGACCCCCCCTTGTTCACAACTGCTCCTCTGCACATCCACTTTAATCCTAGATCTTCCTGCAAATTGGCTTCTCCCTGTGTCCATAATATCTCAATGTCACCAACAACATCTTTTAAGCTTCCCAACTCCTCGGTTGAGGACAGCACCCAGTCTAAAGCTGAACTTTTAGTTCCCAGTCCAAATTTCCAGAGACGCTGATTGCCCAGCTTAGATGGAAAGTCCACTCCTGGGTCAATTAACTGTAGCTATGACAAGTGCATGGAAAGAAAATGGCTGTTCCTGCCACAAGCATGAGAACAGTTCCCAAAATATGGAGAGGGAAAAGCAGGGGGTGTGGCTGCGAAGATAGAACAGTTGGTGAACATGTTGGGTGCATTTTCTCTGAGTGTGCAAGCATGCTTGCGTGTCCTGACCAAGCCTCTCTTCTTGACTGAAAGAGCAGAGAACTAACAAGATGGCTTCTGAGTTGTTCAGGCCTGTACTTCTAGCTAAGCTGACCTTATGACTAACACGCTCCCCTCCCTGTGCATACTTTTCTTAGAATAACTTACCCTTTTACCCTAGAGGTCTTCAAAGGTCATGGACTGAAGCTCAAGAAAATGGGCAGACTCTCCTAAATTCCCCCATAACAGCAGCAAGTTCTTATCAAGATGGAAGGAAAGTAGCCCCTGCTCACACCCTGACTGTCATCACTCTCTGTTCCCATTTTCCTATAAAACCCCAGGACCCTTACCCCAAGGGAGGCTCTCAGTCTTTAAGGCATTAGCCTGCTGTGACTCCCTTTGCCTGGCAAAGCAATAAAGTTGTTTTTTTTTTTCTCTAATTCTCCCCTAAACTGCCTCCTACTCTCAGTTCAGCAATCGGGGTTCAGCAGCCATGACCAAACATTTGTCAGGCTCCTCCTGAGCGCTCTTCTTGACTAGTTCTCAACCTTAGCCTTCCACATCCATCCTGTCCCCGCCAGGGCTGCACAACCCAGTCTTAGCAAAACTGTCCCCACCCTTGATATCTGATCCAAGTTCTTCACCTCCTACCTTCGACATATAAGGCATCATGTTACCCAACACTGAGTTCATCTCTTGGTGGGTGTCAAGCCAAAAGACACAACCAAGCCAAATTAGGAGCAGGCTGGCTCTGAATTCTGCAAAACAACTCAAGATTGTGCTTCAGGCTAATCTTTACCTTTGAAACAGAACTGGGAGTCTTTACAACTGATATATTATCTCTGACAGGGGTATCTCCTTGTCCCATTAATAACTGTTTTCATCTTCTTTTGTTCCCTTAATATCATTAACTCCTGAGACCTATTCTGCTGTGCTTAGATCACAGAATGGCTCGGGCAAAAATGGCTTCTCTCGTGTTAAGAAAGTTCTGTCTGGTTCTCTTCCTCCGAGGACCTCCTACCCTATCTGCTTATACTCGGCCCACCTTTAGCAAGAACCGCTCTTCCCTCAATGTCTCCTCTAGTCATTTTCCACCCACGGGACCCCCTCGCTATGCTCGTCGGCTATCAGTCCCCACTTGTCCTTACATGGAGTCGAAACTGATCTCTCTGCTCTATTGCAAAACCTCTACTGAATTGTCTTGAATAAAATCTTTTTCAACAAGTCTCAGAACAATTTTTTAAGAGTTCACGCACACAGGATTTGGATCACACTGTTTATGTGGTTTTCTAAATTACTTCTCATTTAACAACGCATCAAAATAAATTCAATGAAATACTTATCAACACTATTTTATTAGCTACTTACCATTTCTAAGATGCAAGTAAAATGTGGCCTCAGGGTTAAGATAAAGCCCCTTGTTAAGATCTCAGAAATATTTAAGGAAGTACTTAAATCCTCTGACCTAGACAACAGGTTTCTATGCCTAAGTGTGTCCTAATCTCAGTGGGATAAAAGGGCTTCTGCAAGAATCAGGGTACTGTCACATAGCACTCTGACCTGTAGCCCAAAGAAGACTGCGATGTTTCTGGAAAGGATTGGTGGGGACGGTTTTTATCTAATGCAGTGAATCCCAGTAACAGTCACACAATGTTTTTAAGAGAATTGAACTAACAAAAAAGCACTACCAGCTTGTACTAAAAGGGACTGGAACAGAGACAGCTCAAACCGAAGCCACTGGCCTCCGGACCACTTCCAGGCAGGCCGCAGGCTGAGTAAACTATTCAGCTGCAAATCAGGCCTTTTCTCAAGGAAAACAAAGGATGACCCAGAAGGTGGAGCTAAGAACTAAGTCAGGTCCTGTAGCAATGATTCTTCCGGGGGTGGTTCCTTGGAGGTCATCCTGCGCACAGACTCGAGAATCATTAAGACAAGTTATTTGCCTCCCATGATCTTAAGGGCAATGTTAACAGGGACAGGATAATTACAGTACATAATCCCTTTCAAAAGGTAGGGATGAGTGTACATAAAAACCAATGAAATCTAAACAAGGTTTGTAATTTAGTTGACAGTTAAGAGTGTAAAGTGCTGGTAGGTCAAGTAAGATGAGGACAATGGATTCAACAACATGAAGGTTACCAACAAGTTTGAAAAGCAGGTTCCCAGGAAAGGTGTGTGTGGAAAGCTTTATTGCAGAGCATTCAATTTTAGACTGAATAGAAGAAATGATAGCAATGGTCAAAGCATAGTTTTTGGATCTTCCTGAATTTCCACACAAAAACAGAGCAATAAGACAGCATAGCCACGGGCAACATTTACAACAGGAGTGGTGAATGTCAAAGCACAAAAGTCAGAAGACCGGAAGGGTATCAGCATTTATGTGGGAAAGAGCAGAGGGAGGGGAAATGGCACAAATGACAAATTCATAGAGATGGAAAGTAGAACGGTGGTTGCCAGGGTCTGGTGGGGGAGCTGCTGTTCAAGGTAGAGAGTGACACCTTTCCAAGATGAAAACAATTCTGGAGACTGGCTGCACAACAGCGTAGATGTACTCAACACAGCTGACTGTACACTTAAAAACAGCTACAATGGTAAATTTTGTATTATGTGACACAAAAAATTCAGGATACTAATCTCACATACAAATGAGAATCAGAAGTATCAAGATTAAATCCCACACAAAGATATTGTATTAAAAACAAAAGTACTATTCAATACTACTAAAGACATTTGAAAGACCTATATAAATGAAAGAGACAATCATAGGTCAGATGACAATGTCATTATGATGTCAGTTCTTCCTAAACTGATCTAATGGACTCCATACCATCCAAATCGAGGGAAGTGGCAAGTTAATTCTAAACTTCAAAGGGAAACGCACAAGACCCAGGATAGCCAAATCTTGAAAAATAAGAACCATGCTGGAGAACTTACACTACCTTCTTTAAAGACCTGCTCTAATTTTCATATTTAAGACACTGTGTCATTATCATAAGAATAAGAAAAAGGAAGCAGGCTGCAGGGGCGTTCAGCAAAGAAGGCAAAAAGCTTAGGTTTTCCTGTTTGTATCTTCATTCTCTAGACTCAGAACAGACTCTACGAAGCTTGAGAGAGACCTGATTAACATTTGAAGGCAACATCTTTAGAAAACATTACCTGGAGAACTTTATTCAACGGAAGGGAGAAAAAAACACCAACATGATTTTCAGTTTTCAATTTTATTAAAGTACAGCGTTAACAAGTTTTGAGTTTTCTACATAGGAAAAGACTGGTCAACTTCAGACCCTTCATAGAAAAATTAGCATTCAAAAAAACAAATATAAATCCATAGTTGCCTTTGTGACTAAAAGGAAAAAATAACTATTTTAAAAGTTACAAAAACTCCAACCATATCTGAGACCATTATAAATTTCAGACAGTAGATTTACCATACATATTACATTTTCAAATTCTAATACTGCAAAACAACCATGTAACTTGGCTACAGTTAACTGTTTTAGAAAAATTTTAAAAATTAACCAAGTTATGACTATAAAACTTTTGTAGTTTTTTTTGCCAAGGGAAAAAAAAAACACAAAAAACTTAACTCTTTAATAAAGGAAAACAAAACAATCCTTAAATTTCTTATAAATAGCTCTCAAGACATATATTACCCATCTACTGCAAGCTTTCTTTACCTGAATTTCCCAGGATCCTTCACCACAAAGGATTCTTTCAACATTTTACTCACATAAATACGATTAATCACCTATAGAAGTGGATTTGGACATAGGCATTCTTAATTTACCCTTCCCCAATTAAGTTTTTGTTGAAAGGATTTTGCCTTAAAAAAAAAACAAAAAACCTCTTTGGTAAAAGCCAAATACTTCCCCCTTTCAAAATGAATGCATCTGCTAATGATTTACTGAGGAAGAAAGAAAGAGAGAAAGATCTTTAGAACTTTAGACTGGCTAGCATTAGTTCAAAAGATTAGTGTAAACGTCTCTTCACTCCTGTGAAATGGGTCCAACATTAGAGTCCATCTCTGCCTGAAATGCAGCACTAGATTAAAATGTCTGAGGCTCTACAAATGTATTAAAGACGGCAGGAAACATGGCTAAGAACAAAGCCATAGGGATTTAGCAAATTAAGGAGAATACCACACAGAATTCCATGAACCCAGGGGCTACGGCACCGTTCTTAGTTAAGGAGGGTCCAGCCTTCTGTCTGGACATGCGGGGCCTCGGTCCAAGGTCACACACTTCTTAGTTATAGCTCAAACTCTCTTTCATTGACAAGAGAGGTTAGGGACACGAGTATATATCAAAATGACATGCTCTTTAGAAAGGCAGTCAAGGGAGAAAAAGGCCTAGGCAGCTTAAATGCACACAGGCCCTAGAACTCCCCCTGCAGGGGAGCAGGAAGCACCAATGGTAAGTAAACTTCTGGCCAAAATTAAATAAGCACGTATTTTTAAAAAGGCAGAAGGTGACAGTTGGGGGGTGGGGAATTAGCACTGCATGTAGGTCATCCATAATGAAGGTGCCTTTGAGCACTTGGAAATGAACAACAGGGCACGGGAACCCCCTGCAGGCCACTCCTGATGAACACCAGAACCCCAAGTCCCCAGTAACCCCACAGGCACACAGCCCATCAACTCTACAAGGGGCTCCAAACATCTCTGGTGAACAATTCTTTCAAGCTATTTCCCAGGAAACTGTGAGGACAAAGGCAAAACCAACTAACCAGTATTAAAAAATTCAAACCAGGAAGGACAAAGTAGGGTTTCCAAAATCGTTTGGTCGTCAGTCAGGTGACATATCTAGATACACAAAGCCACACTCCCAGAAGAGTCCCTGCCCCACTCAGGTGTTCTTACTCACAAAATCAGGAGGGGGGAATTCCCACATGGAGAACAACACAGAGAAATCACACACAGTTTTAAAAAATCTTCGGCTCTCATCGCTTGAAGGAGTCTGACCAGCAGCTTCTGGGAATGCACTTTTAAAATCACGTACAAAAAGTTCTAGGAAGCAAAAGTCTATCATTTTAAAAAGATTATCAGTGAGTTTATCAAATGAACATCATTCTTACAGCAACTCAGAGAGACTGGCATAATTTTTCCAGTTTCTTAAAATACAATAGCACAAAAATGTAGGTTCTTTAAACCCATGAATGTTGACTTATCACCTGAGCACTGTTTATCACAATTAAGAATCATTAAAGTTAACTTTTTATATGCCCTCAGTCCTCAGAGTACATCCACGTCTCTCTCAATCATTCAGATAAACTTGCTTAAATTTTTAGTGGAGAATAAAAATCAGTGACTGTAACTCTTCCTCTTATGTCAGACCAACCTTCAGAAAGAAACATTATTCAGCCACAAACCAAGTCTTAAGCACCTGGAAAATGTGGGTTGGTTGTCGGGGGGAAGGGGGCTAAAGAAGGAAGCTCTGAGGGCCGGGCTACTGACAATGTCCCTTCCTTTGTGTCTCCCTGAGCTTCCTTCTCCAGGACAGCCAAGGAACTCAGGGCCTGGTCAGCTTGACCTTGACCTGCCACAGGGGCCAGTTCTGCAGTCACACAGCTGACCACCAGACCCCACTAGACCCAAGCAGGAAGGAAACATAAAGAAACCAGTTACTGGGAGCACGCTGGCTCTTGATCTGCCTCTCCTCTCGGTCTTTGCTAAAGCTGATCCTGGCTCACCTGGAGCCCGTGTCACTGCTGCAGCTGTGACACACACCACTCCCTCCACCTGTCCGACCCACACAGCTCCCACTCCCGCTGGCTTAACCATGGGCTGCACGTGGCGGCCACTCACTGGGCGCCTCCAGAAGACTTTTGGACCACCGGGCTCAAAGAACGCCTGGTCTGAACAAATTTCATCAAGTTTACAAATCAAGGCTCTCTCTCTCACACACACACGTGAGTGGCTTTAAAAACTGAACCTCCAGGACTGTGAAGAAGGCAAGTTCCTGGAGGAGTTCATCTGTTGTATGTCTCCCACACTCCCAACCCTGGTTTTCCTGGGAGGAGGGCAAAGGAGTGAGTGGAAATAAAGAACTGGACTCACATCCCAGGCCAGCATTTTGCCACACAGGAGCCCAGCCAAGGCGGGACCCAATTCTGCCCAACGCATACCGTGGGGCACAAAAAGAACGTCAAGTCTTCTCATTCTCAGCCCCCGTCTGCCAAGGTGCTGAGAGGATTCTTTCCATTCTGCATGAAATACTAAGAGGAGGATCCCCACCGCCTCTCCAGTGGAGTCTCTAATGGACTTTCTGCTGAGTAAATTCTTCCCTGGCTGAGTGCATCAACACTGAAAATGGACGTCTTCTTGGGCCACTGCCTAGAGTCAGATTTCTATTCAGTATCACCTTAGATGTATGTACTGTGGAAATTTCTGTGGCTTTTGCTTATGGCTTAATACTGCCCCCCCCCAGCATTTCTTCTAAGTATATTTGGTCACTTCTACACCCCGTATAATAGGAGGCCTTACCTGGTCAGCTCTGTTTGAGGTGTTGTGTGTGATTCTTACCTTAGCAAATCTACCCCCCAAAATCGTAACAGACATAAATGGCATAGTCACATTACAGATCTGGGGGGAAAAAAGTCCTTTTGCTTTTACAGTTTCAAAGGCCTCAAGTGGAAGAGACACTGGCTGACTTTTGTCACCGGAAGAGGGGTGCAGTGGGCTTCAGTCAAGAAGCAGCTTCCCAGGTGAGGTCCTAGGGTACTGTTACTGACACAGACAAGTAAGAATCACAGCCCTCCACCGTTTAGGTGAAGAAAACAACACGATATTTTTCTATAGTTACGTGAATAACACCACGAGTACAAGTCATAGTATTGCAGTAACTCGGATCAGGTAGTGAGAATCTGGTGGGGGTGGCAAATTGTGCTTTTTCACATTATAACAAAAAATGCTGAACCCAGAAGGGATGAGGGGACCTCTGGCGAGGACAAGGGCAGAGCGAAGTCTGTGATTCCCAGCATCACAACTTCAAAGGGAAACAGCACAAGGGTGGAGTTAAAAGCAGGGGCTTCCTTCTTGTACCTGATAAAGACCAGGGAATAGCGAGCAGGGGTCCTGCAGGCCGAGGTGTGGAGAGGAGTCTGCACTCCGGCGGGGGCTAAGGGCTCAAGATTTTGGCATATTTTTTTTTCTATTTCAAGGATGGGAATAACAGGCCACACAAGGTAAGCTTTTATCCCTGTGATAAGATGTTGTGCCCCAAACTCTGTTTTGGTTAAAAAAAAAAAAAAACATGCAGAAGGAAAACAGTAGCCTAACTACTATCCCAGATTTTAGGGGTAAGACACATACAAAATAGATCATCACTCAGCATCAGCTTGGGTGAAAATTTCAATTCTTTTGGGACAAAATGGTAGTTTCTTTTTGAATTTTAGAATGAAAAAGCTAATCAGATGATTCTTTTTTTCCCCTCAAAGTTTTTGTTAGACCCACTCAAGCCAGCTAGGGGCTGCCAGCTTTTCACAAAGTACCAGTCACTGCTCAGACTCCTGGGACATTTGTTCAAAGGACGTCACTTCCAGCCTGCAGGACCAAGGGGACTGCTCAGCTCCTCACACGGAGAAGTGCGGAGAGGGACGACAGAGGGGCGCGACCAGCGTACCCAGATACAACAGCACACAGATCCAGCAGGAAGCCATCTTGACCCAGAAGATGGACCAGCTCCCACTGAATAAGGTTTCAATGTTGGCACTTTCATAGCTGGGGAAACAAGAGACCAGGCTGTGGTCAGAGAAGGAAGGGCGGGGTGGGAAGGGGGGAGGCAGTGAGCATCTCTCCCTGCTTCCACCCCCTCCAGCCTTTCTATTTTCCCTAGCAACTCAATTCAGATCTAATCACACCCATTTAAAGTATACAATTCAATGGCTTTTATTATGTTCAGAGAGTTGTGTAACCACAGCCACAATCAATTTTAGAACATTCTCTTCACCCCATATAGAAACCCTGCACCTTTTAGCAGCCCTCCCATTTCCCCCCTCCTTCCAGCCCCTGACATTCACTTACCCACTTTCTGTCCACACGGCTTTGCCTATTCTGAGCACATCACCATGCATGGAATCATGGGGCCACTTGTGACTGTTTTTTTCACTCAGCATATTGTTTCTAAGGGAGTACCCATGCTGCTGCATGTAACAGTATTTCCTTTGGTGCTGAGTAATATTTCATTGTGTGGATACCACACTTTTGTTTATCCATTTGTCAGTTGATGGACATTTGGTTCTTTCCACTTTTTGGCTATTAAGAATGATGCTGCTATGAACATCTGTGTACAAGTTCTTGCGTGGACATATGTCTTTTATTTTTTCTCTTGGGTATATAATTAGGAGTGGAATTGCTGGATGGTATAATAACTCTATGTTTAACATTCTGAGGAACTGCCAAACCGTTTTCCAAAGTGGCTGTACCATTTTACCTACTAGGATTGTGAGAGAGTTCCAAGGATGTCAACATCCTTGACAACATGTTATTTTCTGCATTGATTTATAGCTGCCTCCATCCTTTCTTAAGCTTCCCAAGGCAAAATTTTCCAGGAATTCTCAAAGCATCACTGGGAAGCATTAGAAGCTCCCACCCCTCTTCTCCCTCAGGATGTTTGAGAAGAATCTCCTCGGAGCAGCCTTCCCCATAACCCTATTTGAAACTGCTGCCCCCACCATTCCCAGCCCCACCAAGTACTCCTCATTCCTCTTCCTCCTTGTTATTTTCATCCCCAAAAGTCATCTCTATCTGACACTGTATTTGACTTGGATCATGGTCTGTCTCCCCCAGTAGAATACAGGCCATCTACAGCAGTGTGGCAGGAGTCACCCCCCACAAGTCTGTTGCACAATGAGCCTAAATGTCTATCCTAGGTTATTCTAATGCCTAAATGTCTATCTCAGGTATATCCTATGTTATAACAAATTATGATCCAATAGAAACTTTGGATCAGTCAAAGGACATCCAAAAAGAATCTCCATGCAGTAACAGGGAAAGCCGGGCCCATCACTTATTGCCAAGTTTAAAAAAAAAAAACCAAAAACCAAAAACCAAAAAAACCTCAAGGAGGAAAATATGTATAATCACATTCATGTTTTAAAAAATTGTATAGCCATCAGAAATGCATAGAAAAGGAATGAAAGGATACACACCATATCGTCAACAGTGGTTACCGGACAGGGTGGTGTTGGGGGCGGGGGGGAGTCACTATTACTTTTCATACTTCCACATTAGTTCTTTTTTTTTAAATGTTTCAGAGGCGGGGTTGGGGGTGCAGTATAGCTCAAGTGGTAGAGTGCATGCTTAGCATACACAAGGTCCTGGGTTCAATCCCCAGTACCTCCTCTAAAAATAAATAAGTAAGCCTAATTACCTCCCCCCACAAAAAATATATATATACATATATAAAAATAAAATAAAAAGATGTTTCAAACTTTTGTAGTGAAAGTGTTAAAAAAAAAGGACAAAGTAGAAAAAGAGGTATTTTTCTCTTTCTTAAAAGCAGATGATTGCTTAAGTTCTTCCCCCATTACTATTACAACGTTCTCAAGATTGCCCATATGCTGTTAACCTCCCATTTTCTTAAAGCTGCAGTAACCATACCAGTTTCCAATGTTGAAAGTATGCCAACAGACTGCCAAGAACTCAGAATGTTTCTCTGAAGATGAGTAAAGCAGGACTTGGAGAAGAATTAAGTTGACTCCAAGAGATTTGATCTCCAGGATGTAAAGAATAGGACTTTTTTTTTTTAAACAACTTATAAAACATGTAAGTCAACGGACCACTCACTTGAACCAGTCGGTGAGGGTCATCATCACATAGAGGGAGGCCAAGAAGAACACAAAATGGAAGTAGGCGTAGTTATAGACGGTGCTTTTCTTCTCATCATAAATGACCCGTGAGCCCTCTTTGACGTTCTGCTGCCCTTCAGTGTCTGTGAACCACAAGATGAGCAAAAGCTCAGTGAACGAACACATGCACACTTCCCGTTTTCACAAAGCCACCATTGCTTGTTTTAATCCCAGGCACTGGTGTGTGGAAAAGATGTCACAACCATTTGTATCTTCAAGCAATGTCATCTATGCCATAAGCCCCAAACCCCCAACTCACCCCAGAACCTTCTGCAACAGGATGAGTTACCTAACATCACACTTTTTTTTAAAACAGGAGAGAGCCCTTAAAAACATAATATTTCTTATAAGCTCAGAAGGAAGTGAGAGAACAGACCAAGAGTTCTCAAGCCCCAGGACCTCCAATCCAAGAAGAAAAGTAAACTGAACAAAAGAAATTTTCCGAATTTTCATTCCTTTAAAAAATGTACTTCCTGCTCCTGGTTATCTCACTGTGTAACTTAATTTGTATAAACATGAGCCAAGATACAGACTGACCCTCACCTGCCAGAATACCAGTACAAACAAACAAAACCCAGCAACCCTCCGAGAAGAATGTGTAAAGTATATAAACAATAAACAAGCTTTGGAGTCAAAATTTCCCCTCACCATTCAAGCTCCTTGTGTCTGTATCCCAAATGCCTACAGTGCAGACCGGAGCTGCACGTCTACAGGGCAGCATGGAGGCACAGGAGGGAAGCTGCCTACTTACCCTCTCCACCAGGGCCGAAGCAGAAGCAACACCGAGCTACCTGGGAGGGCAAAACCAACAAAGTCAGGAGGCGGGCTTCCTGCTTTTCCATCTCCACATCAGTGAAGCACTAAAGGCCACCTACATGCTAGCCCCTCCCCATCCAAACTACATCCCAAGCCCCAGACTGCATACTTTGTCCTTCGAAAGGTTCTGACAAAGTATCTGTCCTTCCCAGATGCTCGGGGCACTGGTGACAGGAAATACAAAGACTTGGAGGTAAGACACCCAGACCTCCTTCAAAGGCGCTCCCTTAGTGCTCGCTCAGCTCCTGCGAGTGCCCTGAGTGGACAGTCTCTGGACGGCAGCTCCCAGGCTTTGCCCCAGCTGCAGAGTCGCCCTGCCCTACAGCAAGCCCTTCCTGGGCAACCCACACAGGCAAGCTCACGGCACAGATGTAAAGGTGCAGCCGCTGACCCTGGGGGACAGCTCTGATCAGTCATATCTGCTCCAAGCACCCATGAGATGAGCAGCAGCTTTGCCCAGCCTGCAGTGCCCTGGACTTCACCCTCTGCCCAATTCTGCCCCCTTCCCCTCCTTCCACATGTGTCGATCCCTAATAAACATTCTGCACATCAGCTCTGCCTCAATAGCTGCTTCTGGGAAACTCACTGAAACACAGTGAACCAGACAAGGTCCCTGCGCTCATGGAGCTCACTCCTGGTGCTTCATTCTCCTTGCTATTCATTAACTCCTCTTCCAACTCTGTGGCTGGGGTCATTATCCTGTTTATAGTTGAGGAAATAGGGGTCAGGCAGGTTAAGTAACCAGCCTGAAGCCACAAAACTAGCTTAGTAACAGAGCTGGGACAGGTACGCAGGATGAGGACTCCAAGGTCCGTGATTCACAAGAGGCAGTAGGTAGCATGCGGCATCTAAGAGATGGTGGAGCCAACAGAATTAGCAAGGGTAAAACTAAGGGATTTGGGGCCAGGAGGCCTACCCACACTTCCTCTTAAAATCAGGCTCTGAACTGGCTGCCTCTGGAGGCAGCGGTGCTGGGGACAGTGATGAATGGGATGCTTTTCTCTGAAGACCCTTTGGTACCTTCCAAATTTTGTACCGTTTCTTACCTACTCAAAACAATCAACTTAATTTTAAAAATCAGGTTATGAAAAATTACCACAGAAGGACTCTGGTAAACAGAATAAGAAACACTACAGTCTGGGAAGCGCTGGGTCCTTGGCACCTTCCGGCTGACGGTATTTTTACTCCAGAGAGCCATGGGCAGGGGCTGGGGAGCTGGAGGCTTCGTCCCACTTACACTCCTCAAAGCCCAGCCCTTGCTTCCTTCCTGTATCAAGAAAACCTGTCCTAGAGGGACTGGTCTTGACAGAATCTTGGATCAAGTGACATAGTCTAAGAGTCACTAATTCACTCAGTGGGCCCAAGACACAGTGTGCTGGGGTCCCAGTTCTTTTGAAGCTTAAGTTACCACAAGGCATGACTAGCTCTCTCTTTCAAAGGTGCATCCTGTGAAACGTGGTGCAAGGAGTTAGCAAGCCAACTTCCAGCCTGCGTGTTCTCCAGTTCAGAGGGAAACACTGGGGCTCTTTCGTTGGAATGAGAAGAAAAACGTCTCTCTTAAACCTAACTTGGAGACTTGCTGTTCTCTGCACTTTAACTCTGTACACAATAGGGATATTGAAACCACAGCAGTACAATCTCAGCAGGGGGTCACCCAGTCAGTGGGGAGAACAAACGCCTGCCTTCTAGAGACCATTCTCTTCTGTGTAGCAGGCAGTAATCTATTCGAACTCAGCACAGTTTTCTCCTTCTTTAAGTGACAGAAAGAGCTGGTGATTGATACTGGCAGATTGACAGCCCCTCATAATGGCCCACTATCTCCAGGTCAGGTGCAGGAAGGACCATCCCCTGAGACCCAGCTGCAGAACAAAGTGCCCGTAACTGGACAGACAACAGGGCTCTCCCTCCACTCAGGGCCAGATAGGAGAATGGGCTCTTGGGCAGTGGTGGTTAGGAACACAGATTCTCACATGCTGGCAAATCAAAAGTTTAAATGACTTAACTTTTCTGTTTTTCTACCTCTGTAAAATGGAGATTAAAACCCTCCCTTGGATTTTTTTGTTTGGGATTTTTTTTTTTTTTTTGAGGATTAAATGAAATCACAGCTGTAGCACTCAGAACCGTGCCTGGCACGCATCAAGGGCTCAAAGTCTCAGCCACCCCTGGGACCTCTTGTTCTTTCCATTCTTGGGGTCAGGGCTGGGTCTCCTGGCTGCTTCCATGTGATTAGACCTTTTTTTTCAATTGAAGTATAGTTGATTTACAATGTTGTGTTAGTTTCCGGTGTACAGTAAAGTGATTCAGTTATACATACATTTTATATATATATATATAAACTTTTTCAGATTCTTTTCCATTATAGGTTATTAAAAGACATTGACCATAGTTCCCTGTGCTATACAGTAGGTCCTTGTTGTTTGTGTGTATGTTAATCCCAAACTCCCAATTTATCTTTCCCCTTTGGTAACCATAGCTTATTTCTATGTCTCTGAGTTTATTTTTTGACCTCGGTGGACTTTCATTGAGGGCCCCCCCAAAAAACTTTTGCACAAGAAAGAAAATAACGGATGTTTTGCTGACTGAAAGGCATCTGTTGCCACCCTGGCTCTTTGGATGCCTACTGTTCACAGTTCTTCACCCAGTGAAATGCCCACCGGCTGGAGCTGATGCAGTTAGCAAGCTCCTGCACAGACCCCGTGCGGCCCAGAGCAGAGGCTCGCTCCTCCCCTTCTCCACCTTTCTCTCCTCCTTCGAAAGCTACCATGTAACCTCGTGGTCGTGCCATGGATGGAGAGCAAAGACAGGTATAGACTAGGGGAATGGACTGGAAATTAAGAAACCACCCTCCTCCCTTCTGTTCCGACAGGAAAAAAGCAGACAGAGAGCAGCCTGACAAAGCCTGACAAGCCGCTGGTGGAAGCTGGGCAGCCGGATGCCACACCAGAGGCCAAATGTGTGGGAGGAAAATCGAGGATTTCTTTTCAATCCCATAGTATATTCAGGACATTTCTTCTGTACAAAAACTGAGTTCCTTCCTCAGGAGAAAAATGGGATCATGGAATGCAGATCAATAAAGATGCAAGTAAACACAGAAAAAACATTGCTGAAAGAAGGGTCTTCTGAGACAAAGCAGGGCAAGAAAAGGAAACGAACTTACTTCCAGTTCAGGAGCCCCGTATCGCCCCTGCAGAGCATCGGAACTCCACCTTGTCGTCGAGGTCAAACTAAGAGACAAGCAAAAGGTCAGCAGAGTGTGTTAACGTGTTACATCACAGTGAAGGAGGGCAGAGACGCCTGGCAGAGCCAGGCGCCAACAAGGCTCACTCTAACCCACCGTTCTGCTTAAATGGAAGCTGTCTATTTTAACATCCCACTTCGTTCCCAAACTGGCTGACCGATTTGAGAGCTGGTGTCTTTTCACATCGATTGCATTAGATTATTTTATGCAAAGACAAGCTTACAGGTGAAAAAAAAAAAGACTTTTTTGGTCCTATTAGCTTGGTTTTCACTGTTGGCTCTGGCCTCTTCTTCCCTCAAATGCCAACATAATTTTCAGACTGCACTTTTATCTTTCCTCTCCCTTTGATTAGTCTCACTTAGAAAGGATCAAAACCAGTGAAAGAAGTCAGAAATGGCAATGAAACGCAAGGGCATGAAAAGCAAAGGTCATCACTATTTTCTGTGATAATCACACCTTTTGCCACACAAGGTTTTCTTATTTAGAAATTCAGCATAGAGTAACTATCAATGTGATAAAAAAAAAATTCCTCCTGCCACTTTCCACATAGAGGTAAAATACTACAAAATCTGGCTTACAGGGGTTAAAAAGGTATTTAATTTTCCTGGAGGGCAGAAAGGACCATTTTAAGCAAATAGAAAAATATACAATACTTACAGTTCCAGCTAACTGTACAGAGTTATTCAGCAAATATTTACTGAAGGTGTGCCACATGCCAGGCCCCGTTCTACGCACTGGGGTCTCAGCGAAACACACAGCAATCCCTGCCGTCCTGCAGCTCTTGCGCTAGCAGGTTGGGGGCAAGGGGGTGTGTGGAAGAGGAGGGCTGGGAGGGGTTGGTGAAAAGGCAGGACCCAGCAGGCTCATTTCAGCCAAACAGACCTCAAGAGGCAATGCTGCCTTCTCTGCTCATTCTCATCCTCTTTTCCAAGGAGAGAAAGATCAATGAGATGCAAATAAATAATAAAAAGCTTTCCTCATAAAAAAGTCCTCTGGGATCCAAGAGTATTGCTTCTTTTGTGGTCCACGCAAGTCCAGCAGCATCGCTTTCATTTCTGCCTTGAACAGATGGATACTAATGGAGGCCCACTTCACCCCCACTTTCTGACCCTGAGCCTGGCCAAAGGAATGACAGAAACATTTCCCAACGGCTGTGCACCCAAGAAAACACAGACCTTGCTCCTGCATTCAAGGGCGTGTCACATTTTGTGCATATGGATTATGCTTTAATACAGTACATTGTTTCCATGGAGGAAAATAAGACTAAACTTTAGGAAGAGATCAATATCTGGAATATTCATCTGAAAGATGATGGTTCTTCTTTAAAAGAGTTCGAATAAAAATTCTGGGGCACAAAATGTATTTCAGAAAAGCAAAGCTTTTGATCCTAGCACCTTTGCCACTTCACTTTCAACAGCAGACAGCACTAAATGGGGAAGCTTTGGTTCTCACTTCTAAAAATACCTTTGTAATCAGCTCATCATTAGTGACGTGTGACTTCTACAAGTAGATATTGCTGTGAAATAAGGTCTTTATTCAGTCATGGCCTTTACGTACAAAACACTCTTTTTGGAATTATCAAGAAAATGCTGTTTTTACAAACTCTTTAAGAGCCTAGGAAATTCTTATTGTCTATACTCTGGCTATTACTAAGACCCACCTGGTCTGCACAAAACAATTCCCGGATTATCCATAACCTCTTCCCTTCCAGGGCTAAGGCCTGAGTGATTTTAACCCCGTACTTCCTGTGGGGGTGGGAGGAGACCAACAGCACTTGGTTGGGACAATGCTTCACTGGACAGAGAATGTCTAATCACCTTACTTGTCTCGAACTTTCACTCACAAAAAGCCAGCAGTACCTTGCAATCATTGTGACAACCAAAAAAATGCCTCCTTTTACCCTCAGTCACTGTGGTGCCCAGAACCTCTTTCATACTGGAAGAATGATTTGCTATGTAGGTGCCCCTCCACACCTGCTTCAGTGTGATTTTGGAACTGGCCAAACTTCCCAGGATCACAGAGAATCTCCAAAGAACTTGTCCAGACTTTCCTATTGGAGACCACAGATTCTGCCCCCAACAAACTTACAGGGCCCTTGAGAGATCCCACGACTTTCCCCAGCCTTAGCATAATCAAGGTTCAATGATGTTCCCACTGTACCATACAAATGGTGACTCACAGTTCTCAAAGGAGACTGGAGCTGGTGGGAGGGGGCCCTCAACGTGCCCCTTGATGCAGAGACATGAAGATTTCTAGCTGGCAGATTAGGAAGCGGCAGGATTCCCAAAATAAAGATACTCTCCTTCTTAAATAAAAGTAGCAGGTCCAGAACACACCGAAAGAATAGATATCTCTCCTCGATTTGCTGTCTCACATGGTCTGCCGTACTGCTGTGAATGCCCCATTTTGAACCAGCAACTTGTTTGACCCTAATAAAGAGTCTTAGTTTTTCCTATTTTGTATTCAAATTCGTAGACAGCTGAAAAAATACACACTTTTGTTTCTTACGCATAGCTAAAACTGAAACAGCCAGGGAACATTTTACAGCACAAATGCCTCCTAATAATGCAGTTATGTAAGCCATCCAGCGGCTCACTCTACCTCTGTGAAGACTTCACTCCACGCCACCCAGGGGGCTGAAAAATGACTATGAACCCATCTCTCTCAACACTCCCGGCAAAGGAGACTCAAGTAAGTTTCCTGAAACTGGGGGTAGAATTCGCAGGAGCAGGATCCACGCTTCCGTTGCCTTTTATGTACAAGGGAATTGAACCTGACTGACTTCATGATCCTGTCCAATCTGACAGTTTGTTAACTTAAGCCAACAGAATAACAATTTCAGTCAAAATGAAGAGACAAAGGAGGGACTTAAGGAATAGCTGGGGGAGGCCAGGGTCTATCACAGCAAGGATCCAGACCTGAGAGGCAGTAGGGGCATTGACCTATAGAAAGAGTCACCAGGGAACTCCTGACGGGGTGCAAGCTGTGACATTTCTTCACAGCAACAATGCCTAGGTACAAGAAAAGGGGCTTCAGGAGAAAGGATGGCCTCAGTTGGAAAGCCAGGGAATGGGTTTTGACTGAGCCCTTCTTCCAAGCTAAGACAGCCAAGAGTAAACATGCTCACAGTGAGTACCCCTGCTTCTGCAGGACTTGAGATTGAAGGTCGTTGTGAGAGTCCCCTAAAGATGCGTGTGAGTATGTGAATATTTGTGTATTTGTGTGTGTGTGTGTGTGGTGTTGGTGTGTGCTGGGGGTGAGGAGACTCTAGATGAGTGAGACCATAGCACAGTGAGCCTCTAAGAACTTACCAAAAAAGTTAACCCCAATCCCAGGCAACCCTGGCCTTTCACTGAAAATCGGTGATTTCTTCTCCTTTTCATTATATACCACTCTGTCTTCTGGCTTCCTACAATTTCTATCGAGAATTCTAGATATTCCTGCAATCAACTTCAAAGGATGGTTTTCACCTAGGCAATGCAGTCTCCATTTGTAACATCTTCCAGCCTTTCATTCCTGAGTCTAGGAAGTCAAGATTTGAAACCCTCCTAATCGGGTGCCTCCCACACCTCGCAGCATTCCCTTTTTCAAGGCTTCCCCAGGCCTGAACTCACTCCCTCGCGAGCTCCAAGACACTTGGTTATCAAGTCCTCGAAGCTGACTCTGCCTGGAGCTGCAGTAGGTAATTAGAGCAAACACCAGTCACCCTGACCCAGGGTGCTCAGCTTCACTGGCTCCTGGGAGGAATCAGCTGCCGTCACCAGGAAGCCTGTCCATTACGCCCCCAGCCCGGAGCTGCCCGGTTACTCCTCATCTCCACTCAGTGCAGCTGTGTTTTCTGCATCCTTGTTCCACTGGGTGCTGCAGTTTTGCAGTCCGATCACTAGCATCCAATAACGTCTGTTACTGGCACGTAGACAGACTTTAAGTAGCAGCTGACAGCTTTGAAAGTTGTCATCTTTTGGGAATATTAGACCAGAACTTATAACCTCCACTAAGGTGCCTCTAAATTTCAACGGGGGCAATGTTTTAATGATCATCTCTCACTCAAGGGAGGCAGTGGAAATGTGATAGGGTGGAAGTTGCATCCTACAAACTAACACTGCTGATGGCAGTTACATCAGCACACTAAATAGCATTTTTGCCATCTTTTCCATTGATGGGCTGACAGCAAATCTAAGCTCTATTTTATCTAAGGGGCAAACCTTTTTCTTTCCATGTGGGATTAGGCATTCTGCCACTCAAAAAAACATACGATTTTATTCTATTAAATATCTTCATAGTTTTTTTTTTCTTTCCTGATAATACAAACAGAAGAAACACTAGCTCACTGTAAAACTTTTTTTTAGAAAAAACAGGAAAGCAAGAGAAAAAAAATGTTATCCCTGATACCACCACTATTACAAGCTTGGCATATCTCCTTCCAGGGCTTTTTCTGCCTATGTAAACACAACTATATTTTATTTTAGAAATGGTGGGGGAGGGTACAGCCCAGTGGCAGAGCACATGCTTAGCATGCACCAGGTCTTGGGCTCAATCTCTGGTACCTCCATTAAAAAATAAATAAATAACCTAATTATCCACCTCCCCCAATTTTTTAAAAAGTGAAAAAATGGAATATTCTATTGTTTATAGTCTAGTAACTTACTTTCTCCTCGCTCTCCTACCAGTATTTTTTATATGCCAATACAGAAAAAAGTGAGTGACAAATCATAAAATTAGTTGTGTTGCTGCCATTTCTCCTCAAAGCCCAACAATAAAATCACAGGCTCAGGAATGAAAAACTTAAGAAAGGAAGAGCTGAGAATCAGGATTAAAATGTGGGTGCTTTACGGTCTTCCTGAAAACATTCATTGAAGTGGGTCTGAATCAGTGAACAATTATGGAATTAATAAAAATAAAAGGCCAGGAAGTGGTCACCATGGTCCCTTCTGCTGTAAGTAGAGGCTGTCACTACGTCAGGGACAGGCTGAGAGTCGCTGTGACACAACCTTCACTGGGGGGACCACCTGCAGCACAGGCACGCATGTGATGACTTCATGCACGACTGTGAGCGCGTGCTTTATAAAACTCAGCTCTCCCGGTCTATGTCTGTTGTCCCTTTCAAGCATTACAGTTAGAAACTGCAAGAGAAAAAGCCAACCTGCTCAGAAAGATGTTCTATTTATACAAGCTATCACCACCGTGGGCTGTTCAGTTTCAGCCAGAGGAAGACTATCATGTGCCTGTGATTAGTTGAAATTTTTATCCACTGAAACATAACAAACATAACGTAAAACACGGAGGTAAAACCTAAACATGAAAGGGTTACTGTCAAAGGGAAGCTTAATCATCAGTGAAATATGTACCCAGAGTAAGAAACTTATCATATCTGTCCCTTGCTTTTCTCCCTCTGGCATCTTTTACACATTTTAAAGGTGGGCTAAACCCCACCCCCGCCATCTGAAACACAGCCTGCTTACTTATCACACTTGTGAGGAGTGACCTCGCCTCCTTAACAGCACCCTGGGTTTTAGCATGAAAGAAAAGGGACATTACTTGTCTTTCCTGGCCCAGGCACAAAATGACTGTGTATGTAGTGCTTTGTACTCTTTCCATCAACAGGAGAACAAATGGTATTTCCCTTGGATTAGAAAGTTGCCAAAACATTCTGGCACATACCATCTCTTCCTCACTTTGTGCTCCCGTGTCCGCCAAAAATGCTTCAGCAAGTAATATTCAACTGTCTTTTAAAGGGTTGCAACAAACCATAGAGTCATTTTATTTACTGCATATAAATACAAGTCAGGCAAACGAGTCCACCTAGATTTCGTGCTGTAATACTTCCTTTTTCCTTTGGGCTCTATTTCCCCTTGTCCTCAGATGGTACTTGTTTGGCTGCCCCACACTGCTAAAACTTATTTAAATTCTCCTCTTGTACTTTTAAAGTCTGCCTTTTAAAGATGGCCTCAAGTAGCTCCTAAAACTTACCACGAATATAAGATGCACCCACACGAGAGAGCAGTACCCAGTCTGGCCACCAAGTTTTTGTCTCTGTACAGGTCCTGACCGAAGTCAGGCACACAGATGGTGACATTCTTCCCGTGTTCGTCCAGAACTTGTGAAGAGGGAAGAGAGAAAAGGAACAGCCAAATTAGAAAAGCCTGCTGTACCTCACGGAAGCACTCACTCTGGGAAAATTCAGGTAGCTCGGAATAATGAAGCCTCATTACCGGGAACTTCTACTCCACCATCTGACTCAGACTAGACGGCTGCTACTGCAAAGCGCCCCCTGCCACCTAGGCAGCTTCTCAGAGCACGACCCTTGGGTTCCAGCTCAGTGCTAAAGGGTTCCTCAGTTCCAGGAGCCTCTAAGAGTCTTGCTCTTTTCAGTACTATTGAAGCAATAGTAAAAAGTACGCTTAGACCCATTTTTCAGTTGACTGGGCAGCCTCTGAACAGAGGCAGCGTGCAAGTAACTGAGCGGGTCCTCTGTGTCCATCCTCTTTGGAGAAGTGTCCAGACTATTCAACAACCAAACAGGAACCACTTTACCATCGGTAACAGGATGGTTGTGACATCTTTCAGGCTGTAACCTGGGAACCTCTTCAAGTGGTCTAGAGTTCTAAAAAATTTTGAGAGGCTGCATACCAAAGATTTCTATCACAATGCCATCAGTAGTAAGTAGTTTACTTTTTAATCTAACACAGAGTCTTCAATTTTAAACACCCAAGTTGGGTCTGTTTGCCAACTCTGCCCAAAAATAAGGAACATAAACATGAAATAACAGGCTAGAAACCACTTTACAAACATACACATTCTAAGAGTTTGAAGTTGGACTAAAATTATGACTGGTATTCACACTTGAAACAGTAAACTTAACTGTTTATGCTGTGGTTTGAGGAATCTTTATTCTTAGGCCAATGAAAAAAAATTTTTTAATTGACCAAAATATGAACTTTGCTATTTAAGTAGTACCACCCGAAATTAAAAATAAAAGTTTTTTTTCTGTATTTAAGTGATACCTACCATTAAAACGAAAAATGTTGTAACCAAAAACCCCATTAAGTTAAAATCAGAGATTAAGACTTTCTTTTATGGCTGTTTTGACTTTTTATGTATTAAAGAGACCAGATTTAAATAACTTAGAGTCAAGATAGAGTTTAAAAAAAAAAACAAAACTATATCCAGGATAGACTATACTTAACGTAAGACCTACAATTATATCCACATTGTACTATAAATAGCTGTAAAGGCAAGACCCATACATAGTACACGTGTATGCTAAAACTTTCCAATTATCTTTGCATTTGCTTTCTAAATTTGAAAACAGAAAACAACTTCAATTTTCTGTTCTAGAGAAAGGGAGTATATGTATTTAACCTGACTTATATGAGATCAAATGTACCCAAACATACACACGTCTATATACACTTAGGTGTAGATGTATACATTTACGTACACATTTATATATCACAAAAGTGATAAAGGTGATGAAATATAACAAGTTTGGAAATCAAAATAAGAAAATCTAGTCCTTTACTGACAAACTTCAGAGGCTCATATATAACAACTTACAATAGTGGTTTTATAGTTCTCAAACAATCATTGCAACTACTCTACAAGATTAACAGCTACCCTTTCTAAGCACCTACTATGTGCCAGGAACTGTTCGTATACCTACATATACACACATACTCACTGAATTCTTAAAAACCACTCTGGAAGAGAGGAATCTTATTTAATTATCTTGTTAAAATAAGAATTAAAATTAAAGAATTAAAATTCTTATTTTAAAGGCACGGTGTCTAGGCAGAGAAAAGTAAGTAACTTTAACATGAGTTACTTAAGTGGCAGAACCAGGGAGTCCAGCTCCAAAGCTCAGGCAGGTTCTGTTGTCTCTATAAATAAATGCTATTGAAGATGAACGATTCAGTCACACAGCCAGGAAAGGGCTGAGCTGGGCTCCAATCCTGTCTCCAGCTGCCTACTCTTTCCACATTCTGTTACAGACAAATGACCACCCAGAGAAAAGTAAATTAATAACCATCTAAAAATCATAGTAATAAAATAATAAATGGAGCAAAACAAAAATATTTCTTGAATATTTAAAAATATTTCTTAAATATTTGAGTATTTCTGAGTAGGAAAATGCAGATTTGGCATAAAAGCAAACTCAACAGCCATCCTCAGTCCAGGTCTTTCCTGCACAGCAGGAAAACTTGAGAGAAGGAATTTCCATGTTCCTATCTCACGTTAAGGACTTTGTTTAATAAGAAAGTCTGGACCGTCTCCCTGTTTTAATATATCACATCCCTGATATTTAAACAATAGCTCATGGAGACAACAGTCCTGACTCCACAAATGAAAATATTCATCCTGCAAGCACAAGCCGGCTTACCTACTTCCACAGGTTTGCTGGACAGAGCTGAGAACGTGAGGTATGTGACGTAGCAGCTTATGAGGCCCGACTGCAGTAACCCAGAGTGCGGCTGTCCTGGAGAACGAGGGGCAGATTTGGAGACGTTGTTTTAAATGTCAATGATAAGAATGCATACGTGCCCCCCAAAAAAGGTCTCCCTCAAATGATATTCCTCCAACTTGGAGCTCTACTCTTAGAGGAAAGAAGAGGTACAGAATGTGTTTCTCAGATTACACGGAAAAGATCTGGGGGAAAGGGAGTGATCCACTGAGCCTAACTGCTACTGTAGAGATGCCATGTTCTGCCGAGTTCTCTCCCAACACCTTATTTTGATAATAACTACAACTGAAATTCAACATCCATTTATGATAAAAACTCTCGCCGAAGTGGGTATAGAGGGAACATATCTCAACATAATAAAAGCTATATATATAAAAAAAAAAAAAAAAAACGTACAACTGTACTTAAACATACTGCCTGGGCTCCCTAAGGTTCATAACGTTAGTTCTTAAATCACAAGCTTTCCAAAGAAAACTTACCATCATTATTTGTGAGATCACATAGCTTAGTGGGGTAAGTAATGGATTCCGTAGGGTCTGGATTCCACATTCTACAAGGCCATCAGACACCCACAGTCCATGACAGTGGGAAAAAGCTCTTATCTGTCAACGGACAAAAACTGTTGGAAATACTAGAGCTGGTCCAAGCCAAAGAGGAAAGCTATGGGGGACTCATCATTCACGGGGAGAAGGGCTTTAATGTTACAATATTTAAATTAAACTGCTTGGATGGTTGAGAGTAACCAAGATGTGATAAAAGGGATCTATCCTTTTTTTTGGTGAAATTTTCAATCACCTGCTGACATGAAAAAATTTAATTTTACCTGGTCTCCACTCTGATTAAGTTTTAAAACATTTTTAAGTGGTTTTTTTTTTTTGGAGTGGGAGGTAATTAGATTTATTTATTTTCTTATAGTGGAGGTAATGGGGATTGAACCCAGGACCTTGAGCATGCTAGGCACTAGCTCTACCACTGGGCTATATCCTCCTCAACCCATGATTAAATTTATTTCCAGAATTATAATTATTAAATTCTAATGACCAATATAGGTACAGAAATAGACCCTTTTATAATGTTGCTCTTTGGCATGGGAGTAAGACTGAACCTTACCAACTAATGGCATTAAACCAAATATTTCAAAATATTATAACTATTTCAAAGGTAGGATTTAATCCAAAGGCAATTTTAATCTGAATACTAATAATGTTTTAGGAAATTCTTAACTGAGCAGTTAAAGGAACTGGGGGAATAAAAATATCATTTTCAGTAATGAACTTGAAATTTTTAGTACAGAAAACCTTTACCCTATACTAGCTGCCTTTTTAAATCACCACTTTAGAAAGGATTCAACAGGCTATTCATTTGTTGCCCTTATTGTGTTTTTCCTGTCTAGAGACCTGAATGTCCAGTGCACTTTCATCACCGGTATGTAAGAAACGTATAAGAGACATTAGACCAGGGACGTTTCTTTCTATAATCAAAGACAGCATACTGTTTTAAGATATCAGAAATCATATATAAAAGACAAATCACACCTATATTTTCTAAAGCACTTTCAAATCCCATCGTCTCTTCCTCTTGGCTTTGAAACAACCGTGAGCACGGTTGGGCTCGCACGTTTCTGTTGGCTTTGCTAAGGAAGGACTGGGGATGAGGAAGGTTGGCTCCCGGGGCCAGCTGCTGGCCGAGCAGGGATCGGATTTCCTGCTTCCTGACTCTGGAACCATGCTGTCCCCGATTTCTGGTCCACGGGGATCTCGAGTGAAAGATGAGCCCACAAACAGCTCCTTCCAGAGCCTTTTCATTCATTCAAGTTTTACACAGAGATTTTACAGAAGAGCTAAATATCCACTAAGGAGTATTTTCCACTTAAAGGATCCTTTATTTAATTTAGTACATTATTTAATAATGGCAGCATCTATCTCCTTATTTACTGACTCCATCACATTCAAATTTTTCTTGACATAAGGCATGTGATATGAAGAGGACACTGGAGTCCCACCTTTCCCATTGCTGACCCACCCGTGGTAAATTAAGGAATGACCACAATTAAAATGAGGAAGAAAAGTGGGTTTGCTCAAAGACACTTATAAATAAGCATAGGAGAAAACAAAACAAAACAACACTGTGCTTACGATCTTGGACAGGGGGCGAGATGGCTACCACCGAAATAAGCAGACACAGGCCTCCGTTTACCCCCAGGAGAATTTTGTTATCCATGCAGCCATCTTTCTGTGTATAAAACACTGCCATCAAAATCAAGCCTCCCGTGGCGATGGAGTACGTGATGAGGGTCACCAGGGACAGAGAGGCGTACCACAGCTTGTTGCTGGCTGTGCCTGCAGTCCTGTTTCTCCAGGAAGTGGACGAGAGGAAGGGGAGAGAAGACAGGTCAGTTGATTCTCCGGCGACATTTATCATCCCTCAGCCATTACTAGCTAATGCTATCAGGCCCCAGGCCATCATGACTGAGTTATCTAGAAGAGCCACTATTTTACCAATTAGGAGATACAGATAAATATGCCAAAACAAAAAACAAAAAAAACCCACAAAAAATCAAAACCAAAAACTTCTTGGCTCAAGCTTGGAATTGTCTCTAAAAATTGAAAGAATTCCATTTTTGACTTAAGTGTACTCATCAACTAAAATGAATATCCATGGACTATTCCAGCTTCCCCTTTCTGAATGTCAGTTACCCCGGGACAGGCTTTGGCAGGATCAGAAAGTGGCTCTTTGCTGGAGTTCTCTATATAAGGAGTGCCCCCGTAAACACAGGGCCTGGAGGTGCCAGTCTCTTTCTCCAAGTACCACCAGGAGCTCCTGCTGATGCCCATCTTCTCTTTAGGGAGAGAGAAGCCAATGAACTTCACTCAGAAAAAGGCTGGCTGACCTCAGCTCTTTTATCCCTGCACTGAAAAGGAGAATCTGTCTCCCAAACAATGCCGAGTATGATTAAGGAGAATGTGACGTTAAAAAGAAGTGGAGAATAAAATCAGCCAGGAAAAGAGTAAAAATTTTAATGGGATTTACAATAAAGAATCTAAAAGATGAGGTTAATGTGCTTTACATAAATATTAATAAAGGAATGGCAGAAGCAAGTGGTGGTTTAACAATCTATAGAAATTGTTCAGAACAAAGAAAAGAGTTCTTGTCGACGCTAAATGAAGAGGACAGAACAACAGCAGGGTGAATGGACTGAATCACCACCATCTGCCTTAGGATTAAATTGTCCTTTGTAACCACATTCTCACAAACTTTCACAGAGACAGCAACTTGCTTAATGTCTTCACAAAGCTGGAAAGTGTTCAAGCAACCCAGCTAAAATGTTTCAATGATGAAAAAGCTACTGTAGCCAGAGACAAACAAAACAGGGAGGAAAGGCCAAAATGATAATGACCATCATATTCCTGAAACCAAGCCAGACGCTCCAATGACCAGAGTTATTCTAACAAAGAAGGTACAGAAAACAAACAAAGAGAAAATGAGAACAGAGAAAGGAAAGAGCCAGACAGTAATCGATGACAGGGAGAGAGGATGAATTAAGTAGAAAGAGGTGAACACTGCTGAGTGGTGTGTAGGTGGGGTCCAGCTGTTTCTTCACTCGTCTTTTGGGTCATGTTGTTAGTATGAGGTCTTTCTTCCATTCAATTTATGCTTAGATTGCCAAAGTTAAATCTTCAACCCTAACCTCTCCCCTCAACTCCAGGCTCATATTATCCAGCTGTTAACATCCTCACTTGGGGGTCTAATCGGCATGTCAAACTCTGCAAGTCCAGGTGAACTTCCCAAGTCAATCCTCCACTCCCCAAACCTGCTCTTCCATGATCTTCCCAACCTCAGAAAATGGCAGTTCTATTCTCACTGGGAGTGGGTTTGGGGGGGGGGGGGATAAGAAAAGAACTGCAGAGATTGCCACGTTTCTCTCCCTGCTCACATCCCTCACCGCCATGCTATCACCAGCAGAGGATTCCACTGGTTCCAACTTCAGAATATATCAGAATCTTACCGCTGTGACCATCTGGCTCCAAGCTACCTTGCCCCTCAATTGGATCATCTCCCGCTGGTCTCCCTACTTGCACCTCTGACCCCTTCTAATCTCTTGTGCAACTTAAAATACACATCAGGTTCTGTCCCTTTAGCACCCCTCCATCCCACACGGCCCCAGGGCCATCTCTGATTTTGTCTCTGTGCCCTTCTCTCACCACTGGGGTCAAGCCATAGTGGATGTCCCTCTGCTCCTTAAACAAGCCCAGCACAGTCCTGCCTCGGGCTCTGCCTAGCTTCCTTTGTTTCCCTCACACCTTACCATGAAAGCCTTTTCCTGCCCTGCTCTCCCAGCTCCCACACCCCACTTTCTTTTTCTCCAGAGCACTTTCCACCACTGAACCTATAACTTACTTGCCTGATTATAAGTTGATCCCCCACCCCACTCCCGCTTCCCCAGGAGAATGTAAGCTCCACAGGGCAGGACATTGCTGCATTCACTGCTGCTCTCCTCCTGCTGAGTGCCTGGCAAAAAACAGGTGCTTAATGAACACTAGAGAAGAACTGTCAACTGTACAAGAAAGTAACCTGATGCAGCAGTGTTAGCAGAGTGGCTGCTATTCCTGCTGCTCCAGACTCAGCTGGTCCTCCTGATGACATCTTTCTTGTACAGACATCCCAAATAAGTGCTGTGGACTATTCACCCTTCTACTCTCCGTGCCTGGCACACAGTTAATAGTCCAAAAATTCTGAATCGATGCGCAATGAGAATCACTTGGATGGAGATTAGAACGATTAGAAAACGACCAGGCAGCAGGGTGGAGTGTATGGACACAGAAGCAACCAGGTTATCAGGTTAGGAGAGGCGGCTGGGCTCAGGTTTGGGGTGAGGGTTAGGAGTAAGCAAAGCCCAACGACAATGGGAATGCAAAATCCAGAAAAATCTAGAAAACGGGTCTTCATTAGAAACACCTGAATATACTACCTACTTTTTGTTATTTCAGTTTTGATACAGAACTGACACTTCAAAGCACAAAATTTGACCTAGAAAGTGTTAAAAAAACAGACAACAGGTTCAAAACGGAGTCACTTATGCCCCATGTCACTAAACCAACACAACTCAGAGCTTCACCTCCCCCAGAAATTGAATCTTAAACCAGTCATTCAGGAATCCCCTGATCAGCACTAGTCAGGTAATCCGACTGATGGACCTCTGCCACCCACTAAAGAAAAAGAAAGGAATCTTACAATATCCAACCCACCTTTTTGCGTGGTGTAACTTCCTTGCTCCCACTCCCTTCTGCCTGTAAGTCTTTTTATTTTGCACAGCTCCCTGGAGCTCCTTTCTATCTGCTAGACTGGAAGGTACCCAATTTGAATCAATTTTTGCTCCAACTTGCCAAATCATATGCCTAAAGTAAAACAGCAGCCAAACAGTGAGGGGCATTAAAACTTTCAGCTTCCTGGTGTCCAGGCTCATGGCCTTTCTATTCTACTGCCTTTGAGATCTCCTCCTTCTCAAGATCTTTACAAAAAGAAAAAAAAGAAAGGAAAAGAGAAGGAAGACTTTGGTTGCTTCGTGCAGAGTGAGATGAGTATTGTGTTTTCAAACTAACCTTGTAAGTAATAATCTCTGTCACAAAACACATCAAAAAAACTAAATCAGATGAACTTACATGAAAATAACAATATTAGTACATTTCCTAGCTTAGTCCCAATTTTAGGTAGACCAAACAACCATGAGTACGTGGACAAAAGGGATTTTGTTGGGATACTGGCCTCAAAGCCAAGACAGCAGCAAAATCAACTGTTGCAAAGCTCTTGAGTCATTCCTAGCGGGTGGTTTCTGAAAGTCTTTAAAGCAACCAAACTCTTCCAAAATGCCCGTTAAAAGTTGGCATCAATAATTAGTCCCAGAAAATGGCTTCAGAATCAATCAAAACATTAAGGTCAGAATAAAGAAGCACAAGCATTCTCAAGAGAACACAGTATTTGATGGGAAATCAGGCACTCAGTATCAAAGATATTAATATTTTACTATGAAGTTCCTTATGCAAAGTTGATTTGTGAAAATTTAGGAAAAGATCTAGGGTGACGTATTTCTTTTGTCTAGTAAAAGTTCAGAGTGCAAGAACATTAAGAATTGCCAATGGAAAGTGATAATCTAATTAAAATGCACCTCCAACTTATTGTACATATTTCTTCTGCACGACTGAGAAAACATGGTCACATAAAACTACAGTCACCCATCTTGCTTATCTTTAGGAAAACTTTGCTGCCTCAAAACAAGATCTAGTAGAAACTCCAAACAAATCACTAGGTTTCGAGGACGACTCAAAAAGCAGGACAGCATGCCATAGCTTATACATGAGCACAACTCAGATTTAGAAATCTGTATTATTGTAGAGATTAAGATTTGAAAAAAAAAAACACCAAAACACTCCTGTAGTGCTATCTGTATGACTACTCAATGTACTGTAAATATTTTAAAAACTGGCTGTAAGCATTGGGGTGCTTACTCCAATATTTACCAAATAATAAAATGAGTGATGCTATCTTTTCACTCATGTATCTTATACTTTGATCTTTAAAAAAACCAAACCAAGACAACTATTACTGCCAAGCTGAGGAATGTAGTCAGAATGAGAAGTGTTTTGAGAGAATGTGGACAGTATATTTTGTTTTGTCCAAAATAAATGAGTCATATTCATATAGAACGTTCTGATTTTTCCCCCCCAGACAGTATAAAAAAACATGATGTCTACAAGATCTACAAAATAACAAAAGCCTTACTGGGTACAGCAGGCAGTTATTTTCATTCCTATTTTTAAGTATAGTAAGACAGAGCAGCTAAGTGCTTTGCCCAGAATTACAAAGAGAGTCAACTTGGCCTTAGCACTGAAGTGACTGGACCCTTGTCTAGTCGTCATTTCCTTAAGGTGGCTCAGCAAGAAATAAGACAAGCCACTAATAGTTTGGCATTTCCCACTTATCCTGGGATATGAATTCTATTTTCAAAGACTCAGAAAGAGTCTACATTTTTTCTAAAAGTCTGGATGGCTTTCTAAGGTAATACAACAGGTCTTCCTAATGAAGGGGTCCTTCCCCTCTTAGGCAGTTGAAAAAGAATAAAAAATTTTTTGAAAAGAGAGAACTATTCCATCACACATTCTCTGCAGAAAGTGAACCTTCAGCTTCAAAGCACTTTTTTCAGTCTCCTAAGGATGGGCGCTTAGGAGAAAGACTAACCAAGTTTTCAGCCACTAACACAAGCACAGAGCCGGGGCTGCGAGGTGCCAGCGAGGGGGCTGAGTGTGGCTAAGTCACACCCCTGGTTGACAAAGAGCCCTAGTGAGGAGTGTGAGGGAAAAAGGGCCAAAAAGTGAAAAGAAATCAAGTGGAAGAAGCAAAGGCAGAAAGGAGAGAAAAACAGTATGGGAGAGGAGTCAACACAGAGGCCCAAAGAGCAGGCATGAAGGGAGAGAGCCATCAAAATTGTTTTGGGTGTAAGCAGGCTGCTAACCCCTGTCAGCACAACCCAGAGCAGAGCCTCTGTCTGCGAGGCAGGCACTTTCTCTGAGTCAGAGAGCGAGTTCACAGGGAAGCTTTCCATAAAGGCACATACCAGTTCTTGTTCCATTTATGTGCAAACTCCACAAGCAAGAGGAGCTGGATGCCTAGAAAGAGGAAGCCTCCGACGGCTCCCACATAGCGCCAGGCTGCAAAAGAAGACCATTCAAAAGGAGATGAGGTGACCATTCCCAGTGTTTAATTCAAAAAAGAGCAATGACTACAGGTAATTATTACCGCATGCTCACGGTACTGGTAACACATTTCATCCCCACACAACCAGACAAAGTGGCGCTACTATCATACCCACTTTACAGATGAGAAAAACAGAGTCTACATAAGTTGACAAGGTCCCAGAGACAGTAAAGGGGGGTGGCTAGGATGTGAACACAAGTAGTCTGATGCCACAGCATCCAAGCTTCACCTCCATGCCGTAAATAAATGCCAGATATCTTAATAGATGCAGTAATTCATAAAATCAACAGCAACCTACAATTTTAAAGCAAAAACACACACTGCCAGAAAAACCAAGGATTCAAATTTTATTGGGTAGAGACCCACCAGTGAGGAAACGAGGTTCAAACTGGGGGCCAATGACTCAGGTTCTACTTCTGGCTCAGCCACAAAGATGCTCTAACCTTGGATGAGCACGTTGCTTCTCTGGATTACAGCCTGTCTACAAAATGCCTGGGCTGTGCTGGTGGGCTGACTGCTAGGTCCTGCCCCATTCTAAATATATGATTTTAATGCATAAAAGGAACTCTGAGGGGAATAGAAGGCTAGTTAACGGTATTTTAGGTAAAAAGACAACTTGCATACAACTTTCTTAAGGAGTATATAAAACCAGTATGACCCTAAGAGATTAGCTGGACCCTGATATGTGAATGTTTGAGGACTAGGGCTGCTCCTTACTCACAATGTGAATGTTTTCACTACCTTGATTAGGAAAGTGAACACATTTGGGTTTGAACAGGGTTTTGAACCTGTGAAACTCAGGCTTTTTCTTTCTCTCTAGCTCATATGAAGAAGGGCCTCTTGTTTCAGCTATGATGGAATGCTTCATATCCAATAATTCTGGTAGGTTCTATCAATAAGGCATATAATTCAGTGTTACAAAATGTGATGTGAGGTAAGTTTAGAAATAGCCTGAAGCATGCCTTTCTGATCCCATTGGAGCTGCAGTAGATTTAAAGCTGCTAAGAAGCCCTGCGTTCCGTGTCGCTGGGTTTGTGTGCGGAGCTTGGAAAGAATAAGGTCTCCCTGGGTGATATTGATGTGCTAAACTGGTTTTCAAACAAGTTTTAAGTGCCTCATTTCCCCTTTAAACCAATAACCTTAACTTTATCATTTCAACTCTCCAGCCAGCAGCGTAACTAAAGGTCTTCTCACCCCTTGCCAGGGAGGGAAGGAGTTAGAGGCGGGGGAGGGGGACAGGGAGGAGAGGGGGTGGGTGAAGTGAGGGCAGGTGAGGCATGTTTTTTTTTAAGCCACAAGAAGATCAGCAATTCTAAATATCAAAAGTACCTTGGACTACACTTTTGAACAATTTTACAAAGTGGGTAAAAACCAAATAGATATACCCCCAAATACCCAATTTGTACCATTCAGAAAGGTCTCCTGATCTGGAATGAAGAAGGCTCCTGAGCACATGGCCCCCAACAGCAGAAGTTTAAAGAACCAAAAGCTGGAGAGAGAGAAAAAAAAAAAAAAGAGGAAATGTATTTAAATGATATTCAAAGAAGGACAAAAGTCCTCTTAGAAGGTAAGCGTGCCAATCTGCGATTCTGTTCTCTCCAAATGGAGGGGAAGTAATTAACTGACTGGAGGCTGCCTTTTCCCATAATTAGACAGACTCAGCCTGGCCTCTGATTGTGCAAAACTATTTCACTGCAGGGGTGGAAGTGACCTGGTAAAAGGTCTTGGTACACGAAAGCTCTTATCTCCCCTGCATTTCTCATGATGGCACCAGGTGCTAAAATAGGACTCTAGTTCTCAGGCCACTGTGCAGTGACAAGTGTAAGTTTCACCTTCCCTAAAATCAGGGTCAACACTTTCAACGAGAGGAAGCAGTCAAAGGGTCTGACGAGTAGAAAGGGTCCTTGAATGCTGCTCTGAACATAAGGAAAGGAGCAACAGTCCCCATGAAGACTTACCCGTTGTGAATGTAGGCCCTACAACTTTTACTGTTGTTGACTTTTAAGGTCAGGAGGCAGAAGAGAAAGAAGAAACAGGCCATCCCAAAACAGACTCTATACACTGCCGAATACCCCACCAGCTTCTCACAGGTGTCGCCAGCTTTAATGCCTTTACAAATGTCTTCGAAGAAAGGGATCTGAGGAAAAAGAGACAAAGTCATCTGTTAAAACTGGATAAAGAGTGGCTGCCATGGAGTGTTCTTTCAGCCCACAAGTCAAAACCCAATGAGAAATACACCACATGCAGAGGCCAACAAAGACTGAGAAAAAAGTCTCCCTTCCAAAGACCTTTCTCTTAATTTTTTCTGAATCTTTTTAAAAGATGCAGTGCTCATAATATACCACACTCCACTTTCACTTACCCCTAATGAATTCTGAAATCCAGCATCAGAATTTTTTAAAAGTATACTTATAATACACAAGTATACTTTTCTTGAAATGCATAAATATATAGAATAGTTGCACATATGCTATTATTTATATACGAAAAACTCCTGACCTTAGCAATGAAATCAATGGGTCAAAGTAGTATCTACATTTTAAAATTTCAAGAGATAAAGTTAAATTATACTCTTAAAGGCTGTGTTTATATCCCACCAGTAACATCTGAGACAGCTCACATTTCCAATCTGAACCACCCAAGATTTAAAGATAAAAAAACCTATCTTGTTTCAATGCCCATCTTCCTAACTACTAGTAAGGTCCATAACTTTTCTTAAAGTTACAGCCATTTTATTTTTCTCTGTAAACTGGTTGTTAATTGGATTTTTTTTTTGATCCACTGGATCTCTTTATTTATGCATCTTAATTTTCTGATAAATGTTGATAATGGTTTATTCTAGTCCAATTAGAAGGTTTCAATGCAAAACCTATTTACATCATCAGAATAATTAAAATCTTACAGAATGAGAATAAACAGCACATTTCTATTAATGTCAGAAAAATAAAGATTTAGTCAGTGGTTAAAAAAATAAAACTTGCTGCTTATCAGTATCAAAGTTGAACACTCTTCAGAACAGAAAATAAGTTTAAAATCGTATTATAGCCATTATTTACAAGACAAAAACAAAAAACACTTAGAGAAAAATGACACAAAGCTAGAGTTAAAATTGAAGCATTTAGTTTCTTCTCCAGAAAAGATTCTGAAGAAACAATAATAACTGAGGTTAAGACTTCCATACATAGAAGACTAAATTTAATTGGAGTTCATCTTCCTCGATGAGGATTTCCTTCCCTCAGAAAAGATCCGCAATGATTACTGCACCTGAATCTCAAACACGTTTTTCCAAATTAGTGTCTCAGGCAAAAATGCATTAATACTGAGACTGTATTACAACATCTCCATTTTCAAGAACAGGTATAAAAGATTTCATAAAGAAACACCATACATTTTGCACTCAGCAAGTTTGTGCAACTGCCATTTTTTCACATCAGATCAAGATGTAGTTGCATAAAGAGACATACTGCTATCTTTTTGACCAAGCTAGATAAAATGCCAATCCAGATAAAGCACAGAGTGTCTTGTTAAAGTTTAATTTTGTATAAATAATAACTAATTTTTTAATATAACTATGTCCCATACAATGGTTGGGACATACTTACACTAATATTGCATGGGACATACTTTTGCTAAAAAAGTATTCCTTGGCAAGAGATGAAGCTTAAAAGAAGGCAGGGTCTTGTTGGGAAGGGCCAGATGTATGGCATGCTAAAGTCTGGCTCCTATCCTGTAAGCAAGGGGAAACCACTCTTTAAGTTGGAATGCCTCTGGCTGCGAAGTGGAGGCCATACCAGAAAGGGGACAGGTTTGAGGCAGAAGGATAAATTAGAAGGCTACTGGATTATTAGTCCACATTATAGATGAAGAAGGTAAAGCAGTGGCAGAGAAAAACAGAAATTCTGTGGGTAGAGATCATAATTGGTAGGACTGCAGGGACGATGAGAAAGTGAAGGACTGCGGAGGCGGGGATTGTTCTCTTCTGCACTTAACTGCTTTTAAAAAAAGCTGTTTGGGGTGGAGGGGGAGTAGAGCTAGCAGAGGACAAAGGGTGGAAGTGAAAGAACAGATCAGGAGCTTGTTTTTAACATACAGGACTGGAAGCACCGGAGCATCCCAGTGAGAATGTCTGGTCTGGAAATTGCTTCAGAACAGCAATTAGGATACAGGATACAGGAAGCGCCCTCCCCCCACCCCCGCGCCACAGGTAATGAGAGAAGCCAGCAAGGGCTTTCTTTCTGAAGGAGTCTGAATTTTTCGCTGTATTTCACAGTGAGTGAACAAACTCACATGGTTAAAATCTTCATATACTGAAGTAACGAGGGACCCCACACAAAGTGAACATTTCAGAGCCTCTAGTGGGAAACAAAAGCTGCACCTGTATGAGTGGTACCAGAAACAAGGAGGTAATATTGCTTTACTGTCCAAGCCATATTCATGGAGGCACCAGGCCACCTCACTTACTCTGTTCTGTTCACCTGGGGTTTATTGCTCTATAAAACTCATTCAACTCTCTTCTTCCCTCTCTTCTCTCTTCCATTCTATCAGCAAAGCTAATTCACAATGCACATTGCCCCCAACGTCCCCAACACCCTACTATAACACACGTACATCAGCACCTTTTCATCTACACTGGCCCATCTTTCAAGGTCAGACTCTTCTCTGCCTCCCTACCCCACACCCACTTCTCTCCCTGCCTTCTTCTCAAATCCAGCTCAGGAAGAATGCTGATGCCAGCAGGCCTGCACCCCTCCCCCGACACCCCCACAAATCCCCTCCAACCCGTCTACTGCCAGAGGCCCTTAGGCTCATGGAAAGGTGAGTAGGTGGCATTGCATCTTTAAGTCAAAATAAAAGTAGGCAAACTCCTGCTTCAAATACTAAGACCTGCTTTATGCTCTGTGGGTGACTTACTCATTTAAAACCTTCAGTAAGTGGTGAATATTTTTAGGCAAAGAGCCTCTGAGTTGAACAAGCTGGCAGGATTTAGCAAGGGGAATTTGCTCTGATTAAATATTTGCTGTTCCAAGCTCCATCCCAGCTTTGGAAAAAGAAAACAGACATCACACACAGATTCCACACTGTGGGGTGAAGGGGACGGGCTTGCTAAGGGTGTTGCCTTGAAGTCTGGCTCTGGGCATCCAAGGACACGGCATCCGTGTTGGTTCTGTACAGACCTGAGGGCAAAGGGTTTCCTCCCATTCCTCACGCAACCAAACTCAAAGCCACAAGTTATCAGGAGGAAGAAACAGCTCACTGGACTTCCAACCTTAACTCCACCGACAACTCGGGCAAATTACACACCCTTTCTGAGCCTCGATTTCCCTACCTGTACAACGAAATAATACTGCCTTCCACCTCATGAAGTTGTCCTGAGAATTACATCAGTTACTCCTTGTACAAAGTGCTCATCAGAGCTCCTAAATCCAAAGTAGCCATTAAGCTTCCTTAGTTCTAAGGTACTATCTAGTTTATAAAAAGAACTCTTGGGGGAGAAGCCAGGCACATTTCATGAACCCTTGACTGGTTGATACATTCTGGTTTAAACATGGGGAGAGATGAACATCTTAGAATTCAGTAGATGCTCTATTCACTTTACCAAAGGATTCATATTGAAAGATACAGTCAGACCTCCATATCTGCCAGTTTCACATTCCCAGATTTAACCAACCACAGATGGAAAATATTTAAAAAATTTTTTTCATTTAGTTCCAAAAAGTGAAACCTGAACTTGCCAGGCACCAGCAAGTATTTACATAGCATTTATACTGTATTAGGTATAAGTAATCTAGAGATGATTTAAAGCATGTAAGAGTAGGTGTGTAAATTATACACAACACCATTTTATATATGGGAATTGAGTGCTGGTGGATTTTGGTATCTGAGAGGGTCCTGGAACCAATCTCCCATGGATACTAAGGGACAACTGTACCAGGTAACTTTCAATAAGGTGAATCCTTGCCTGGCACATTCATATAGGCAGACTTCAGAGATATCGCAGGTTTGGTTCCAGATCACCACAATAAAGCAAGTATAACAGTATAGCAAGTCACACCAATTTTTTGGTTTCCCAGTGCACATAAAACTTATGTTCACACTATACTGCAGTCTATTAAGTGTGCATCAGCATTATGGGTAGAAAACACTGTAAATACCTTAATTTAAAAATACTGTATTGCTCAAAAATTCTAACCATCATCTGAGCCTTCAGTGAGTCATGTTAATGACATCAAAGATCATTGATCACAAATGACATAACAAATACAGTATGAATGAAAAAGGGTGAAATATTGAAAGAATTACCAAAATGTGAAAGAGACATGAAGTAAGCAAATACTGTTCAGAAAATGGTACGGATAGACTTGGTCAGTGCAGGGTTATCACAAACCTTCAATTTGTAAAAAATGTAGTATCTGCAAAGTGCAATAAAACCAGGTATGCCTGTTTAAGAACTGAGTTCTAAAAAAACAGTACCCAGTACCTGTCTTTCAGAGACCTAGTCACCACCTGAAAGAAAATACATCTGAACTTCCAAACCAGGGAAGACATTTCAAAATATCAACACCAGTATTAAGCTCAAAGAGGTGGAAGCTAGAAAATCCATATAATTTTCCCTATAAAAGAGAGATGCTAGCTATACCACCCACCAAAATAATTTCATTCCCAGGCAAATAAATGTAAAGAAACAACAGAAGAGTTACAGAAAAGTCAACAGGTCTAGATGGCCTGGGGCCCAGATGCTGTAAACTTAGAAATAAAGTACAGACTTTCGGGCGTGGTTCTTACAGAAATAAATGCAGAAGAGGAAAAGGAGAGTTGTGCCCCTATATTATTAAAGCATTATTTGGGAGAAATGAGAAAATGGCATATTAGCAAAGATAATGAATCTTACATTTCATTGCATCAAATTTTGAGGGCACTGAATGAAACCCAGCCGCCAAGAAAGCTTTGGGCAGCTCAGCATGAGTAATATCAAACTAGAAGAATCAGATCTGCAGGTTCTGTTTAATACCTCTTACTTGAAACAAATTCCAGTTTCAGAATTGAGAGCCTCTCCCTTTTCTAATATTCCAATTATTTTCAAGCTTTCTAAGACAATTATTTTCCTCTGTGGAATAATTCCAGTGTCCACGGCAGGGA